AAACCATTGCCGAGTCACAAATAGGGAAAATGAATTTTATGAAGAAGGATAGGTTTTTTGCTAAATCAAAAGCTAGAAGAGTAAGGGAGAATTAACAATTCATGGAAATAAGTAATATACATGATTATGAAAACTGCTGTAACAATACTAAGCCTTATAAACATTTACAGCACATAGATACAAATAAAGAAAAAAAATACCTACAAAAAATATAGCAAAAATGCTAAATTATATATCAGATAATAATTAAAACAACTATTCAAAAATAAATGAGAAACAAACTATTTTAAAAGAAACAATAGGACAGATGTACGAAAATTTAAGAAGACTAAATAAAATAATAGAAAGTATGGAAGAATTTAAAAGAGAATTCAGAAAGTTAAATCAACAATTACAACAAATTAGAAATAATAAAATAAAATTGATAAATAAAGTATCATTTGTGTTATACTGGTCAAGTACACTAAAATCAGACACACTAAAAGATGAATATATTATGGTTTTGCAAAAATTGAATGAAGAATATCTAGAAACAAAATTATTAAAAGCATCAGTAGAGAAGATAAATGTTATCATTGAAAGTGAAAATAATGAAAAGGAACTAATTGAAAGATTGAATAAGCAAATAGAAGAATTAAAATATAAATACGTTTCTTGGGGTAACAAACTTCATACAAAGGAGGTTCTGCATTTAAAAGGCTGGCAAGGTGACACTACTTGTTCTTTATGTGGTTTGGAACTGGAATCTAGAGAGCATTTGTTCTTCTTGTGCTCTATAGCAAATGAAATCTGGCAACACTTCAAGAGCTACTATCTTCCTTTTACATGGCCGAATAATTTGGATGATCTCTAGCTTTTATTAGAATCACTGCATGGGTGGAAAGGATACATGTGGCGTAGCATCTTTGCATCTGTCTATTGGAGTATATGGAGATCAAGAAACAAGTTCATTTTTGATCAAACGTAGTTTTCTACCAAGTCTATTATTAACTTGGCAATATCTTCTTTATATGATTGGACAGGTACTCAAAGTGGATCTGCAGCACAAAGGATACAAGCTAAGTTGGAGGAAGACCCAATCCGTAGATGCGTTTGACTTATCTGAAAGTGACAGGAGAATAATTTTTGTTTTTATGTATAGAAAATACTTTTGTTTTCTTTAGTTTTTTGTTGATTGGGCTATAGAAATATTAGTTTCTTGATACTATATATATGGCTGGCTTTGGTTCTTTCTTATATCTGTATCAACGGTGAATGACGGCAAGACCCTCTCTTCACCTTCATGGATGTTTGAAAGAAGAAAGTCATATATCTCTAGTGTTAAGAAACTAGTATTTCTATCTTCCAATTCTTGGATACAATTCGTATCCTGTTTTTGTAAAACTTGTCTCTTAATATAAATGACAGGGTATATCCCTTGTTTTTGCTCAAAAAAAAAATTGGTTGCTATTTTTCTTTTTCTTTTTCTTTTTCTTTTTTTCTCACAGTATTTTTCGGACCAGACATAATCTATGGTGCATTTCAGACAGAGAGCCCCTAGGCTAGTTCTAGTCTAATTATTGACTCAACTCTGGTCAGGTTAAAAACAGAATTAGGTCAGACGATGAAACTGCCAAATTGCGATTATGAACTTGGATCATATTTGATCGCCAAACTAACCCTTTATTGGCTATATTTAAAAGGGTTGGGTTGCATTTCAAAAAGTCATGTATGATGAATAACCCTTTATTGGCTATATTTGAAAGGGTTGGGTTGCATTTCAAAAGTCATGTAGGAAGGGAACATGGATGAATGATGGATCTAGGTTTCGGAGAGAAAAAGGGGAGGATGATGCATGATACGTGAGTTATTTGAGGGAGCACTGTAGATGATGGCCTCCATTATTGTACTCTCGCTTTGTATGATGATGATGATAGTGTCGGATATGTTTACGGCACAAGTTGTTGGGCCAGCAGTGCAGGTGACAGAGGCTTTAATAGGTGAAGGACATCAGCATAATAAAATTGAACTAGTTACCCTATTTAGGTTCATCTGTTCGTCCTTTTTAATAAGCCCAATTGGACACCAAATTAGTGTTTAGTGCTCGGAACCGAATCTTAAAGCACAATATACTCAATACATTGAGCACCAGTGCCATTCAACATGGTATGAGGATGTTAGGATATAATACTACCATACAACCCCAGCTGTTCATGAGTTAAACCCAATCTTAACCTCCTCCATCATCACAGCTGTTCATGAGTTAAACCCAATCTTAACCTCCTCCATCATCACTCCATGTCAATGTCTACGTAGCGCTATGGTCCAAAATCAGATCACCATATCAGATCCATGTAGAGGCGTGACTTAAGCAGGTAAAAGTGCGACTTCTACATACAGCTAGCCCTCGACAAAACAACAAATGGAACGGCTTTGCCTCTCCACGTATAAGATCTTCTTCGAAAACCCGAGGAATGAGAACTATAATCTCTTATAATTATACTACACTCAAGTCTTTCAATTGAGATTCCTATCTCCAAAATATTGACTAGAGTAGGAAGGCCTTTGGTCGAACCAATGGCCGGACGTGACAAGAACGAGTGTTTCACCGAGTTTCATTTAGGATCAGCCGACTACCTCACAAAACGACTTCCAAACGCAACGTCATGTTTACTATCATCAACATTATCAATCAACGCATTCAAGTTTTATTATCTGAATCTTATTATTATGTACATCAACACATTTCACTTCTCTTCCTGAGTATTGGAACATTGTTTTTAGAACTTTAAAAATCAAGGTAAGAAGGAGGTCAGACTTAGTTGTAAAATATGGGGTCCCAAATCCAAAATCAGATTGTCCTCTCCCCCCCTCTCTCTCTCTTCATTTTCTATTTCTTTTTTTTTTCTCCATTAAAATTACCATTGCTTCCATCGAGGAGATGAAGGACTAAAACAGTGAAGGACAGAAGTAAATCTCATGGATGTGAAAGACTAAAATGTTTAATATACTTTTGGGTCAGGTCGGGTCAGGTCAGGCCCATTACAGCACCAACGCCCAAAAGCCGATTCCTCTGATTTCTCGTCTCGATCACACCGAAACATGTTCGCATCCGATGTACGGTTCCGAATGAGTACCAAGTTTGAGCTAATTGATTGAGCGTGACCAACCAAGTTGATTGAATACGTATACACGGCCCCCTGAAACGTATGTGACTCGAACGAATCCTAGTTGGGTCCCACCTCAAGAACTCCAGAACGGGTGTGGCTTTACGTACTGAGTAGGAAACTCGGTTTAATTGGGATTAAGAAAAAGACGAGACTTATCATAAAAGCTAATTCGAAAGAGACACGAAATTACTAAAACTGCCTATACCACATGTCAGTGAAGGGGGGTCTTTGATTTTCGGGCATAGAATGATGCAATAAAACACTTTTTTTTTTTTTCTCTCTCTCTCTCCCCCCCGGAACAGCCGCCTTTTTTTTTGGTTAAATAAGAACAACTTTTTCTTTTTCTTTTTCTTTCTTCGTTCTTTTTCCCCCATCTAGGTGCTCGGCAAAACTACTAAACAAGGCCGAGTAAAGGGAACATGGGTCCAAAAGGCTTAAATCCTATTTTGGCAAAAATTCGGCCCAAGACTAGGGCTAGTTTTGATAGGCCGAATTTTAGCCTTAAAACCTAGTTCTTTTTTTAATCCAAACCCAAAGAGCTAGCTTGAAAAAGAACCAGCTCACCTTCCAATTGCCAAACCGAGCCTAAGCTCCGGCCCTTGTTTGTCAAAAGAACTTGAACGCCTCGGACTGATTTTGTCTCGGTCCAGGCGCCTTCTAGACTGGAACGAAACTGGTTTAAGTCAAAATTAGTTTGACAAGCTAACCCTAGCGCGGCTTACTTTATTTTGAGCTCTTTTCCACGTAGGCAGCAAATCAAAAAGATTTGCATCATTTGAAACTCACACCTAGTCCAATTATAACATCATCACAACCCAACAAACAACACCAATCATAGCTGCCTCTAACCCATAATCCTAAGAACTTGGTAGGGTGAAGGCCTAACCATAAACGAAGTCGAGAAAGATGCCCCTCGCAGCAATAAAAATAGACAAGCGCTTGATCTCACCCGATTGCTAGATTTTGTGGGGCTGGGGACCACAAACACTCGGACGGAGTCAACCCGGACAAAAGCTCATTTCTTTTTCCAATTGGGCAACTGGGGCACTCGCCCCTTTTTCTAAAAAGCCTTACTAGCTTCTTTCCTTTATTTTGGGTCCAAGCGATTTTCCTTTCGCTTTCAGAAATCAAGCCCAGCAATGAGAATCCACAAAATCAGTGGGGAGACTTTACTGCCTGCTTCTGATGCTTTGGATATCATTAGCTTAGTGAGGGATTGAGGAGAGACACGCGTCGGTTATTGACGTAGACTTGCCACCAAATTTCATGTTGGTGTTTGTCCTCTTTTGGTTTTGTACATCATTCAACATGCCAATAGTTATAGTTATGAGATTAATTGCTAGGCGCATAAAAGATGACGTACCAAAAGTTGATATATATAACTTATGATCCGTATGAAGAACACATTCATCAAATAATTAAGGCTAAATAGCACTTGCATACCCTATTGTTTCATCTACATTTCGCTTACATACCCCTACTTATAATTGGTAGCAAGAAAATACCCCAATTTTTTTTTTTAATTTACACTTACATACCCTCACTTTTTTCGTAGCATTTATATACGGTAAAGTTACTAAAACATGCTCTTTAGTATCTTAAAGTTTTTAAAAATGGCACATAACTACCCTAAAGTTTTTAAAACTTGAACTTAAATACCCCCAAGTTTGCACAACTGAGGGTATTGATGTGCAAGTTTTAAAACTTCAGGATATTTAAGTGCTAGTTATAAAAACTTTAGGGTATTCGAGTGCCGCCAAAAAAAAAGTTGGGGTAGGTAAGTGAGGAGGAGGTGAAACAATAGGGTAGATAAGTGCTATTTAGCCAATAATAAAACAAACGAACAAGTGATGAAGAAAGTTATTCCTGTTCTTACTCAAAAAGGTACGTATGCCCAAAGCATCAGTGTACATTATGATGATTTCCAAAATACCAAGAAAACTGAAGGGGATGCAAGTAACCTTCGCCGCTATTCTAAAAGCCAATTGCTGTAAGCCATCATGATATGTCACTCTTACATAACAAATGGGGCCAAAAAGGCAATATACACATATCAAAATAGGATGATAAATAATACGTCAAACATCATTCACAGCTACATCTTGAGACCACACAAAATATCAGCAAAGCTAAGCAGGGCACAGGCTTCCGAAGTTACCAGCAAAACAGAGGGAGGCAGCGGTTCGACAGCTAAGGAAAGGGGTTGCCTCTGGTTGGACGGCAAACATGGTTCCTTTTGTGGGCATGATCTGGGTTGTGGTGCTGAGTTCGACATGTATAACCATACCAGCAGTTCTCTCTTCCAGATGCATCAGGTGGTAGAAACTTTACAAGAATAGTACAAAATTAGCAAACTAATGATATACTATAGAGAAAACTGGTCGAAGGGAAATGGAATAGGGTATCATACAGGGAGAAAATCACAGCTTTTTCACAACCAAAGTAATTTATATAGATGATGTCAGATTTTTTTTGAAATGCAGATTAAACAGATAGCACAGGACCTGAAAGAAGGAACTTCCTATGTCATATGATCTTTTATTACATTGGACAGCTCATGTATTCAGTGTAGTTGTATTTCAGCTTTAAGATTTGCGTAGGAAAAGAGCAAACTAATGTTCTCGAAGAATACGCTAGAATTCTATATATCTATGGGACAGTACATTTAAGTTTATGTGCCGCACTATATATTTAACGAAACTCTTTGCATCGCCGAAACATAGATTGAAATTAGAACAACGAGGGCACACACAGGTAGTGCAAATCAGATAATATTTTAAACAAAACCCAACAACTTTATGTAACGACAAATGTGGCTTTAAAACATAAGTAACACTGTAGGATGACCTTGTGTAATCTCTTGTTAACTGACAACAAAGAGGACGATTTTATATGACCTCTCTGGATTACGCAGTTAGATAGTTTTTGTGAAAAGGAAATATTATTCAACTTAAATAAGATCCACAGTTACACTTCCACGTTCTTCTAAAGTAAGAATACGTTGTTAATGAAGTCCTCAATGCCGTTGTCATCATTATCTGCCTTTTCACATTCATGATCTGCCTTTTCCCATTCAAGAAGAGTGGAGTGGCCAGAAAGCTCGGAAATGAATAACCAAGTTCTTATATATCCTATTAATGATAACCCTCTTGCATACACCAAGTTCAAGACAAAACTATGAACCCGTGCCAGAAAACTTGATTGCTAGTGAAAAACATGTATATTAACCGTTATTGGTGATTTAATATAAATGATATGATTTGGTATAATCGTATAAGGAATCAGATTTATGTTTCAAGAAAATATGGTAAACACGCCAAGATGATGATTTTCTATAAAGGACCGTATTAGATTCATGTTGCAGTACAAAATATGCCTAAAGGTACCACAATCCTAATCAGCATGCACATGACAGAAAGGCAATATGCATTATAGAGATAAATTTTCCAAATAATGTTCCATACATCGCTTTCTTCATGTGACACAACAATAATCATTATTGATGTACTCCTCATTTTTGTATCAAAATGGGATCAGCTTACACAACTCTAAATTGATAGTACTTCATCAAATATTACCTTTCCTACAACCATACACAACCCTAATTATAGAAAAGGAGGTGGTAGTCACTAAAAGCTACTAAAAGAATTTATGAGTACGGAACTAAACAGTAGATATTGAGCACTTTAAGCTCAGTAAAACAATAGGGAAACCCTCTACAATCATCTGAAATTAGGAGTCTGTAACGAGAAGATGATGAACATTGTCACGTACTCATCTCTGAGGCAGAACATAAACCAAAGATATAAATTGAATAAAAAAACAGAGATGAAAAACCAAAACAAATAGCTACTGCAGTTCATCATATTACGTTTTATTTGAATTTATTGTTATTTCAGAAGCATATGTGACAAACATAGAATTAAGCACTATAAGCATCCCACAGAAAAGATAGTATTGCAGTGATAACTTAATAGAATAATTGAGAAACAATGAATTTACATAATCCTATCAAAGGAAGGATGAAGTACTCACACTTCTAGGCGTTGTTAGCCGAAACCAATACAGGAGAAAGTCTACCAATTTGTCATAGCAATCACTGCAATCATAAGAGATTGTTTAACAATGTTTCAAAGAATTTGGATTAAATAAAAGGTGTCTAAATATTAAAAATTGTATAAATTATATAAAACTTCCAAGCTCACAGCTTAAGGACACAATATATAACCAAAAACAAAAAATTATAGTTAAAGATAAAGCATACAGGCAGTGACAAATTGCCATATACATTAAAACTGTCAAGTCTTAGCATGGTTTGTGTTGAAAATTTGAAAAGTAACCAGAATTTTCACGATGAATGGGCAAACAAGGCAAAAAGAGATGTAACAAGGGTTCGAATGTGTAATTTCAAAAGTAAAATGAAAATTTTAAAGATTAAAATCACATTGCACTTACGTCCAATGCCCATTGAATCAAAATTAACTACAAAAAACAGTATCAGAACTCTAAGATGTAACAGAAGCACAACAAGCAGACACATGATAGCAAAAGGGATGTATCAAAGTTTTTGTAAAGCCTGTAACACTAGAAAATGAAAGGAATATTTGCATTGAGGTCATAGAGAAACTGTTCCCTTCATATGAAAAACTAATCCATAAGAGAGAATATCTTGAAGTTAGATGGAACATACATGCAAAGGTGCGTCCTTGAAGTGATAGTCTCTGCATGAAATAATTGTAATCTTGATCTGTCTGCAAAAAGAACCAAAGGCACTACAAGTAAGAGCCTAGACATGTACGTGAGTTCAAGCCATGCCTAACATGATAAAAATACCATTTAGAGTTAGAGAAAATATGAACACTGCCACAAGTATGTAACTGAAAATTTTAAAAGCTTAAACTGCTCGAATAGGTAGGAGACCCGTTGATTTCATAACCAAGGGCTTATGGGCTACTAGTATTGCACAATGGGAGGGTAATGAAGTATATGTATCATTAGATTTGAAGCTGATGTTGATGGATAGGATTAATCCATCAGGAAACTAATGGGTGGCTCAGATGGCGCCACCGAAGCTACCATGTGGAATGGAGAGGTGTGCTGGGTGGAGAAACGAAAATAGGCCACATGTAAGACGAAGGATGAGAGGGAGAGGGGACACATCCTTGGATGCCCCCTCTCCACCACCTCTTCTCTCTTTTTTCTCTTATAATCCCATCTACTTACTCATGAAAGAAAGGATGAGAATTACGATACCATGCATTAGGGGGAGAATGTTGATGTTCATGACACTATATTCATTAAATTAGGTAGAAATGCCGACTTGCTTCTCTTGAGTTATATCACAATATATTGTTATTCTCTTACCTTTGTCGATAACTGTACAAGTCTGCTGGTAGTGTCTTATCTTCAGGATTATCTTTATGCTCCTGAGTAGGGATTTGATCACTAATTATGTTCACCTGTCTCGGGATGTCTGTGGTAATATGACCATGAATTTCCAGTGTAGATTAACATGTTTATGTACCATGATTGATTTCCTATGCGGAATTTCTTATGAAATTACAGAAGTATCCTATATATTATGGCCCATGTATCAGTTGCCAATATGACCATTCAAGAATCATGTTAGTTTTTGTCAATAATTGCTGGATTGGGATGTGGATAGAATATTACATATTATTTAGTTGCAATTAGAAAGCTCGCCGTGGCAAGGAAAAGATGTCTCAAGTTTAGAGGCAGAATACCCCAGTCAAAGACATCTTCTTTTTCAACGCAAAATCAAGTGTTTTACCTATTTTCTGTTCACCTAAGAAAGTACTACGGAAACTTACATATCTAAGTCATATATAACAGGATTCAACTCAAATAGTCAAATGTGAATAGTGTAGTGCCTCAATGATTAACACTATATAAATGTGTTCATGTCTTGGTAGGGTGTCTACGGTACAATGTTTTCTAGTACAGTAGGTAGTAGTGTCGGTATTATATTAGGTCCTGCTGATGCTTATGTCACTTAGCCACAGTTGTTAGCCTGGAAAGCCTGGTAACATCAGGAGAAAAAGATAGGTCAAATTTTCAGGGTGTGAGACCAGATGTATAGCCATGTTATGCTTTTCGTTGAGGTATTGTAATTTGTCCCTACATGATATAAGGATGCCTTGCCTCGGACTTCAGGAATCAGTTTAGAGGGTCTACATTAGGTATTGTCATTTGTCCCTGCATTCTAATCTTCAACGACTAACTGATGACATCTTGACAATCAGTTTATAACGGCTGGTATGCTTAATGCTTAGAATACAACACAAAAACATCTAGGGAAAAACATGAAAAAGATGATATGATAGAGAAGTCAAAACAGGCTCTACAAATGCAAAATAAATAACTGTTACAGATTAGAATTACAAATAATTGCTTTGCTTATGGGGAAAATGATAAGATATGATCCAAGAGTTAAACAGCTACAAAAATGCAGCAGTCATAACTAACGATAGCAGAGTAAAATGTAATAAACTGTTATAATGCTCAAGCTAAATAAAAGCCAAGAATCAAACATATTCACTAAGGCAAATACCGAATTGTGTTTAAATCATGTTGATGACTTTATAGAAAGATTTGCCTTTACCAATTTCTTGATTGTCAAACTTAGTGATCCAATCTGAGATAACAGCCTGCAATGTCTTTCCCATTTTCTGTATGCACCTGTCTGTAACCTAAGAAAATGATTTGAAACTAATGAAATATTACCACATTTTCAGAAGATCGAAATAAAATTAACTCAGAAAAAGTATTCATACATCTTTCTCATACTGATTATTTTGATGTATTGAATCTGGAAGTCTTGAAATGGTGCGGTCTGATATCTGCAACATTGAAGCAAGAAGCAAGAATTTAGAAAAACACATTGTAGATGAGATAAACTATACACAAAGTGTTGCGAAATCTTTGTTCAGATAACTTATTACAGTTCAAATGCATTTCGCTAGCAAGTAGCAGGTAGAACCTATATGCTGTTTGCAAGACCAGAGTCTATCTAAAAAGCTGTGTTCGTCCTACAGCTTACACAGAACTGTTACCTTCTTCTAAGTTCTAACTGAAAACATTTTGTGCTACATCAACAGAATGAACTGTAAGCTAAATAAAAACAATGAGAAGGGTAAGTTCGATTTATCTCCATATTTACATACACAATGGTATGCCATACTTGTGGCCATACTGTATGGCCAACAGGCAGTAAAAGGCCAATTAATTTACGATGCAACTATTGAAGATTTGAAGGAAGCTCTAAGTTCCCAGGTTTAGATGACAAAGGAGAGTACAGTTTGCTATAATGAACAGGTCTTTGCATGCATCTACAAGGCACAACAAGCTAGACCCATATGGAAATGTCAACTCACATCCATAATCTACTTATGAAAATTACTCAAGTGAAATGCTCTAAGAATTTTAGAATAGAAAATGAAACTAAATTAAGGGACCACAAATCAATGGAAATAGGAGTTTTCTGGAAGGTTTAGAAAAGCAACAAGAGCTGAAAAAATATAATGCAGGTTTATGGAGACCCTAAGTATTTTCCATCATTCAACCCCCACCCCCCACCCCCCCCCCTCCCTAAAAAAAACGAAAAAAGAAAAGAAAAAAGAGAAAAAACCAACACACACGCACACACAGCAAACAGTTATTAAAACCGTTCAATAATTCAGGGGTTCATGAATGCATCAAGACCTTAAAGCAAGTAAAACTACAGGACCCCAACAAGATTCAGAGGGAAGAGAGTGTACTGGTCTGAATGTTTGCTGATTGCAAATTATGTCGTATTCATTTGGATCTACACCTTGAGAATGCCAATAAGGACCACAAAAGGCTCTATTGCATCCTAAGCCTGCAAAAAGAAAGAATACATGGAAATTGCTAAGGAACAGTTTCTTTGCAAACGTGATTGGGAAATTAACTTGTTATGCAGTTTAAACTTAGAATGCACTAAGGATTAAACTACCAAAAGCAACAAGACAATAGAGTTTTAATTATTCGTAACAAGTGAATAATTTTGGTTCTAATGCAAATCTTCAAATGAAAGCCCCCATACTTTGAGCAGACAGTCCCCCATTACTTATAGAATTGTAAGTCAATTGTACAGCAAAGATAAGGAAAAAGTAATGTCCTTTCGCATTTGCATGCCCTAAGTAGAAACTGCAAGGAAAATATCCATGGTGAGCTGATCCTATCTCGCAGTATAGGAAGTAACATCCTTGGACAAGGCTATTCTTTCAGTGTATCTCAAACTTGGTCAAATTACAATTCGCATCTATGGAATATAGGTTGGGTCGACAGCGTAGAAGTTGAGTTTGAAGAAGAAATGGTATGCCATAGATGAAAAAGAATTCCGACATTATACCTCCGGTGTTGCATTTAAAGAAAACTATAGAATAGCTTAACAAGAACATATTTTACCAAGAACATGCCTTCACACATAGAAGGATCAAACTCTCAGAACAATGTTTCATCTAAGAGCTCAATGCTCAATGTAATATCACATATCAGGAAGTAACACAAATATAAATATGTGTGGTACTAAGAGTTGGGTCATATTCTTTAAAGAAAATTCAAATTTCAATGGAACAGAATAAAATATGAACAAAATATCAATAATAACAGCAAAAATTGTCGATATTTGAAAATGACTCGCCATAGAACTTAACGGAGAAAACAAAACAAAATGGATTCTCCAAGCTAATCAGTTGTTGCTGTAAAATTCAGAGTTCCACAACGGAATGAAAAGAATGGTAAGAAGCATCCTTATATCCACAGGATAAATTTTTTTAGTCACGTAAATGCTACCACTGGAAATTCCAGAAACAATTACAAATCAAACAAGATAAAGCAGCACGTACAATGCTGTGGAACACCGACATCAGGTCTAGATGGCATCAATCCTCCGCATCCTTGACACTGTAGGTGGGTAGTCACCCGACCACATCTGAATCCCCCAATTGCAATGCCTGTTAATAGTTATATATCAGACTAAAAAAAAGTTATATCTGACGAGACTAATAAGTCAGCTACAGAATGGCAGTGAGACTTTAGTTAGCACCATTGCAATTTTAAAAGACAACTGGAATTAGAACATAACTTCAAAACATTTGATTTGCAGCATAAATTTTTCCAATTGCTCTTCTAAAAGTATAAATGACATTGATCCAGAACCTTAGGAGATACAGCGAAAATGTTTGCATCGAATAAATACTTAGATAACAGAATATTCTTGTAACTAACTTTTAGACCTTTCAACCCTTTGGAACTTCAGTAAACTGTTAAACTATCAAATGATGCAGAAGCCAACTTATGAAACAAATTGTTTAATAGTTGTTACTAGCTCAGAATTGCAGAGCAGAATGAGATGCAAAAGTAGGATCAACTGGGAATACACATTTATGTTGAAATGAGAGAGGATGGATAAATATAGGGTGAACAGCATACTTATAACTACCCATATGAATAGGCATGAACTCAGATACTCCACAAACAGATATTAGACCGAACAGCGTACTTTTAGGCATCCATGTACAAGTAGGCATGACCCAGATATTCTTACAATGGAAAGAAAGTCGAATCTGATCAACATTTCAGTTCACCAACTTCAAAAACAACAGAATAAAAATGGAACAGGAACACATACAAGAGTAACTGCTTTGGGACTGATGTCTTCAATGTCATGCTTCTTTAATTTCATTCATAACTACCCAAGAACAACTACCAAAATTTCAAAACAAATCAGTACATATCCTTCACGCAAGTAATATCAAAGTTGTAATTTCTATACTTCTTTTTTCCGAGACATTCATTTAGTTCTTCTGATATTAAGTTAACAGAATGAACTTTAGCACCTCTTATGCCCCTTTAGATGACACTTCCAATCGGGTTGCATGGAAACTCAGGTAAAATTTTACATAAAAAATGAAATAACACTTCACAGAAGCATAAAATATATGCATGATTGCCCAATTGGAGTTTCAAAATATAGACTTTCTGGTTCAAATTCACCACATTTTCCAGAGTTGTCCAAGTAACGATGAAGAATCTCTACATAAATGTATTTAACAATCTAATAAACTCTTAGAAATTTGACTGATGTTAAAAGAAGTATCTAAAAGAATCGTAATTCATCCTCACATTGCTTCAAAATAAACTGTAGGAAGAACAGAAACAAAATATCCAGCTTTTGGTTTACCACATTGGGGGCATGGAAGATCTGCACCACTACCTTCGTCACTTGATGACAAAGGCCTCTTTCTTGATGTTTTCTTTTCAATCCCCAAGACCTATGCAAGTAGCAGTGTGATATCATATGAATACGATTGCATAGCATCCATTTCGGTATAAGATAGTACACTCTAAAAGCTTGCAAAATAAGACGAAATAGGAGACCTTTACTACATTCCATTTTTGCACAAAGACGGCCAAGCTAATGTATTGTGCACACCCCTAAGTCTTTTAGAAGACACCTTGGACAAATATTATGCATCATAACAGAACAACATAAAGTTCAAAGCTCCAAATAGCTAAAGCCGGGGAAACATAAAATTATGAAAACCCAGGAAATTGGTGAGCTGTATAGGAGTTAAAAATTGTATGACTCTTGTAAAAGGATCACATGAATCAAGCAACAGGAAACATATCTACACAATATATCATTATTAGAAATATTCATAGAGAATTAATAACTGCAGAGGAGAGTTACCAAAGTATAATGCATAAGCTATAAAATTCAATACACACATGAACTTACAAGATTTGACTTAACCAAAGCATATGTATCTAACTGTGCAATCTCCTCATCCGAATGCTTTAGCGAAGAAAATTTTTCCAGGATAGCCTGAAAAAAAATATTCAAATGTTAGCAAGATACAGATACCATCAAATTAGTTACTCAAACAACAAGGAATATAAAAGTTATCTGTCTGCTTTCTTAATGCATGAAGATAAATTGGTCTTAGCAACAAGGCGCAATGCATATCCTACTTCGAGAGTTGGATAGAAAAATCATAAAAAAATATTTGAGTTTGAGAAGTTTCAATTCCAACTTAACTTAAAGAAGGGAACTACTGAATTTTCTTAGTGACAAGCC